AAATGATCTTCTGTCAGCACAGTTGTCATGAATCTTTGACTTGTAAATTTTTCTCTTAGCTGCTTTTTTAAAAACTCTCAACAGATAATGATTTTTTAATTAATATCCTAGAGGAAATAATGCTAATATTGCTCCTGTTGTGATGCTGAAATACTACGCTGTCCAAACCATATTATCTAAAAAAGAAAAATAACAATCACAATGACATACACAACCTTCACTCCTAAAATCTGAGACTAAAACTTTCTGTTCATACAATCACAGATTTCATAGTACTCAATTGCTACCATTTGAAAATGTAACTTAGTGGAAAACTGTTTTTTAAGGATGCTTCAATGCTTTGAACCTGTAGTGTCAAAATGAGATTACTTTGGCAATTGAAAGCCAAAAATCTGATTTTGTTTCCTAGAGGAATGACAGGAGCTGGAGATCTGGGATTAATTCAGTTGTGTAATCCATGTGAAAAGTCTTCCAACACTTCCCCACTGGAGAGTCCCTCATTGTTATAAGATTATTATAAACTGCGCTTCCGGATGGTTGTCTGTCTTTTAACATGTTAACAACTTGATTTTTAGCTTTGTGTGTATATAGCTGTTGGGTTTTGTTTTTTTTTTCTTCTGGTCTCAGCATTAGTTCTTTATGTTGCTTCATACAACCTCATACCTACATTTTAAAGAGGGGAACTGAATAACAATGGATGAAATAATAATACAAATTTCAGTTTGTCTTTCTCGGCTTTCTTTTCACATTTGTTGATATTCTTGCTTCTGCTTTGTTATCTTTTCTCTCCTCAATTGAAGTGTTTTGTATCTTAATTATTTTTCCTTTTAAGAAACAGAATTTTTAACTGCACAGATTTAAGGTGTCCCCCTCATATCAACCCTTTTCCTGAGGTAAGTTCTCCGCTGATTTCCCAACGGGCAGGTGTGCACTAAGAAAGCTTTGCAAGTCTAATTAAATAGTTATGGGCTTTTGGAAGTGTAACTTATTCCACCTCCAACACCCTCCCCTTACTTACCCGAAAGAGGAGAAAATGCTACTTCTGGGAGTACAGTTTTCCCCAGTATATGTGCATCTCTACAGGGACCACACTTCCTCAAGCAGCAGAGCTCTCTGAGACAGTTTCTTCTGTAGATGTGGCCATGTTCTCTCCTCCTGGGTGCCTGTCCTTTTCAATCTGATGCAGAGACCTTAGGCATGATGACATCACTAACATCTTCCCATCTCATCACATGACTTTTTCATTTCGATGAATTGGTTTTGATTTGTCCTTACCTCTGACCATGGCAGCACTTCTTGCCAACTTACCTTTCTGGGTGACTACAGTACAGAAGTAGATGCCACACCAGCTTCTATGCAATTTAAAGCTGGACAAGTGGATACTTCTATACTTGCAACACAAAATAAAGAGACACTGATGGTGGCCATGTTTTCCTCTCTGCTAAGTACTTTTTGCACACAGGTAAGAGGACACTCTCTCTTGCTAAGAAGTGTTGCCAGTCCTGGAGGGTTGACAGCTCCTTCCCTGCTGTGACACAAAAGTGCCCTGTGGAACAGTTAAGTGCTCTGAGTCTGCCAAGTGCCTCTTGATGCACAATTTTTTGATGTACTGTAGGCTATGTACTGAGGTCTTTGAGACAGAGCTTACCTCAAAGGATGCTGTCAAGCTGTGTGTGGATCAGGTTCTGAAGCAAACACAACCACTGGGTTTTGGAACCAAGCTCCAATGTTAGCTTCTAGATGTCTTAGAACTAATTTTGTTTTAGAAAGTATTAGATGCTAAAGACTAAAACCACAAGAAACACTGAAATGAACAGGTTTTGTCTCTTCCCTGAGGAAGTTCTTGAAGACAAGATATTACTGTCCCGTGACCAAATCAGTGGATATATATTTTTTTTCCTTCAGTCTCATTTATTTAGTAGCATACACACTTCAGAGTAACAAACACTCAACCAATACAGTCAATGTCAAAAGTGACCGTGGTCAGCATTGCATTGTAGTGTTCAAAACGGATGCATGTGGATGATACAGGCCATTTGATCTCAGTACCTTAAGGATAACAAATAATAACAAGCAATTAAAAAAAAAATAGCAAGAGTCCTCTGAGATACCAAAGGGGTTGGTCCAACTCCAATTGAAATCTTTCCTTATAATAGGAACTGGATCAGATGTTAAGTGAATTCCTCCCCTGCTGTATAAAATTAAGAGGGATTTAATTTTTACCACTTTGGTTAAATTTCATCCAAATTTTTATCCTTGTGGAGCTCCAACACCCATCATTTTTAAACTTAGCTGATGGATCTCTTTATGCATTTCTTTATTGCACCTTCCTCCAAAGAATCTCACAGCATCTTGCAAGCAGTAATGGGCAGCCTCACACCATTCCTGTGAGGTAAGGAGGTACTATTTCCATCTGTAAAACAGGAACAAAACTGAGGCCTGGGATAGTTGTCCAAGGCCAAAAAAAACAAGTCACTGACAAAGCTGGGGGAGAGAAGTCCTACTGCTGGACTCACATAGGAATGCAGCAGTTAGTTAGTCACAGCAGTTAGTTGCTGCATCTAACTAGTGAGTTTAAAGACCTTGGTGCCAAAGTCAGAGGTTAGCTGTTCAGCACCAGGGTGCCTCTGGGCCAGCATATCTTGCTATGCTGTGGAGACACACGTGCTCTCGGTGTATCTGGAGTGAGACAGTATCTCAGCAGAGGCATTACAGAACTACATTCTGGACTTGGATGTGAACAAGTACCTTGGTCAATGTGCATCAGCTCATCTATGTTACGTGCCTGTGCAAAGGCATCATGTTGACCACCTGGTAAATATAAGCTTATTCAAGGCAACTTACTCCATAGTGAAAGGCAGCTAATGCTGCTTCCTTACACTAGCAAGTGAGTGCACAGACAGGCACTGACCATTCGCTGTGAATCAAGGTATCTAACTGACCCTGCAGTAGTTTGCTCATGAGCTCATAGCTTCCAGTCCTGTAGAGCTCCAGTGCTCAGTTTCAGTCCTACACTTGCAGTTGGCTAAACAAAAGCTGCCTCCTTTCTCTTTTCCCTTAACAGCAGCAGAAGATTGTGGCTTCTCCCCCTTCTAATCCCTTAGCAAGCCAAAGGACCATTTCAAAACTAACTTGCTAGAACTATTCCTCATCTAGAATGAGTTTCCAGAGTAGGATCTGCTCTAGAAAAGGTTTTTTCCCCTGACCTTTTCAACTACTGCAGAGGAATGGATCATTCATCATTCTCCATGTTTTCCCTCAAGACCACATACTACAAACCATGCAGGTGAGCAGCAGTTGGTTTATATGAAGCTACTAGTACTACATTGCTTCTAGTTCTCCTTTAGAACTGGACAGTCATTCTAAAAATTTGTCTCAAACAATATCTGAGCATCAACTTCTACCCTCTAAATCTCTCCTCTAGAAAATAAGTTACACAGGTGCAAAAGATCCACACATGTGGTAACAGAAGAAATAAATTTAACTCTATTTTAAACAAACCACTAATGAATTCTATCACCTTAATAGTCTCATTTCTAACTTTTCTCTCTTTTTTTTTTTATTATGGTAGGACTGCATGCAATTGCAGTCTCATACAAAAAGTTATTGTTATTAAAGTCCTCCCCTGTGAGACCTATTTATTTCCTATTCTCCTTAAGCACTGCTTACCTGTTGGCTGCAGGAAAGGAGGAAGACTTTTTTTTAAAAAAATTGTATTAAATTCACCACAGAGTAATTAATCATCTCATAGCAATTCAAAAGTTAGGAGGCATCTGGAACGCTAGCATCTGTGCTCTCTGTTGAAGGCTTGCTGTCACTTAAAAAAAAAAGTGTAAACCCTCTGAAACATCTAAGTGGAAAATTCATTAATATACTATCATAAAAATAAAACTCAGAGGGACTCTGGGACGCCACAGAAGTAATCTGAATTTGGAGTGAACTGCAAAAATAATTACCAGTTTCAAACAACTTCTGTTTTAGGATGAAATGTTTCCACATGTCATTACATCCTACAGAATACCCACTCTATGTCATCTAACTTTTAGGTCACAACTCAGCTTGAATTTTTTAATACTGCTGTTTTGTTTAGAGGTGATGAAAAAGTCATCAAATCTGACCTCTTAGTACAGTAGTGTGTTATCTAACATAACTCCTTTTAGAAATTATTTTAGGCTCTTCAGTTCTAATTACAAGTGTTAGATAGATTTCATTCCAGATCTGGACATTACAATCTTTTTTTGCTTATGACCACGATTATTATTGAAATAGCAGTTTCCCAAAGCATCGAGTCACCTTCATAGACCTTAAAGTTCTCAGAATCTCTCCTGAGCATCAGACATCAGCAAAAGACAGCAATTTCTGATCAATGTGCATTACTAGCTTTAGATGTTGAAAGGGGCTTAACAATCAAGTAGTAATATAAGCCTTGTCCTTATTTTGAAAACTGCATCATCACGTTATTAATGTTAAAACCTCCTGGAATGTGAGTGAACACCTGAATACTGATAGTATTTATACTGCTAGTATTTAAAGCACTGTTCAAGTGACTAGAGGCAACCAACAGAGAAGGTACATGAAGCCATTACAAGAAATCACTTCAGTCTTTTTTGATTTTAACCTAAACAGTGTGAATTTTCTGTGGCTGTACCCGGGCCACAGCAAAAGAAGAATGAACCACAGGTGGCCCCGTGATTCCAGATGGGGACTAGTGGATGATGTGAAATATTGACATTCCTTCCCCCAAACTGCCCTGAGTTAACAGCTGATACCTTGGAGGAAGGATGCCTGGGAATTCTCTCATCATTAGTGTAATGCTGTGAACACAAACATTACCTTCCTGATTGCTGCACCAGGCTACACACTTCAGTGGCAGCATCATATCTGGGAACAGGAACATGGCCAAGAAGTCACAGGCATTAGGAGACAGTCAAGCTGTAATCTTAGGAGATCACGCTGGTTGCTGGCTACTAGTGTGCGTGTGTGTGCGTGCATGTATAGAGGGGTTTTAGCTTTAAAAATAAACAAGCCTTGAAAAAAAAAAACCCAAAAAACCTCTTAGTTTCCTAGTCTCCGAGCAAAGGAGTCAATACTGATTTTCAGAACTGCAGTTCATCCGTAAGAGGCCAAACTTGCCAAGTGAGGCACTTTCCAACAGCTTACTCAGCCTGAAAGTCAAATGTTTTTGGAGACAATAGACTGCTATTCTCTCCCTAGAGTATTTGTAATCTCCTGAGAGGCTACATAAAAAGCAAAGGCTGTTCTTGGACAGAAATGAATCAAGGCTAGAGTAGGGGAGAGGAGGAACAGTCAACAGCAGTTACCACATCCAGCCACTACAAACTGCTGTCTCCCTTTGCTCCAGGTTTCTTGTGATTATCACCCATTTCCACCTTGTGCCCATTTCCACCTTGTGCACACTGTAACGCAATGCAGCAGAAGTTGTTGGTCCAACCTATAGTGTACGCAGAAGCAAGGAGACTTGGAATTAGGGGGCGAAAAAATCTCACTCTTGCTGGTTTCAAAACTATGCAGTTCCCTGAAAAATTGTTATTCCTACCCTGAATCCCCAAGACTTGCTCTGGTTCACTAAGAGGTAATCTGGAGTCCCATCTGTTTGCCAGAAACCAGAATCATTCTGGTTTACCATACAGACCTCTTGACTCATGCTGGTGTGATTCCTGAGTGTGGAGATCTTCCTTCTCTGAGGACCAGCCTGAAGTTCAGCTGGTGCAATACAGACCAATCTGGAATTATTTAGGTTCGTAGAGGGCCAATGCAAAGTCATTTTGATCACTAACTGCTGGGTCCTGGATGCAGCTCCCTCTGCACTGATGACCTCAGGAAGCTGGAGGGAGTTAAAGGTTTCCTTCTAACTGAGTGATCCCAGTAGAGCAGAAAGTTACAGGGCAGCCCTGCAAGTTTTATGCCACTCAACTCATCTTTCAGTGATGCTTTCCAAGATGCCAATTAAATTGTCCAAACCCAACAAGTACCCATCCTCCCTGTTGCCTTCTTGCCAGGGGATCCTGTGATCCAGTGTCTGCCCATCAGGGAGAAGGGTGGTCTTTCCAAAATCGATGAGCCACACATTGGCATTCCCACTGCCATCATGTACAAAAAGTAGTGAACTTCCAACGACCTGGAAGACAAATTGAGATGATGTGGTTAAAAAAACATCTTTAGCTCTCCCCCATCACTTAACACTTCCCACTAAGAAGATGATCTCCTCAGATGACCTCCTCACCCGTCACTCAACAGACTTTTGGGTTGCACTTACACATTGACAATTTACACGCTGCATTTGCATAACCTTATCAATCAGTAACGTATAAATAGGCATGTAGATGGGAAAAGGGACCCAAAAGACAAAGGGAAGAAAAGCAATTTGCCAGTTGACTCGGCAGCAGGTCTCAATTTTGAGCGATTCAGCAAAAACCAGTGACTGCTTTCAGAGAAAGACCATGACCCACAATTCACCAGGGGCATTTTTGTTAAAAGAAGAAATCAGCAAGGTAAAACAAAACGTCTGATCCCAAAATCTTGAGCTGTAACAAGCAAAGCTTACAATGCTAATGATGCCTTCTCTACAGCAAAGCATGCAAGGAGAACATATGGAGCAGAATTACACAGTGTTTCCATGTAAATTCAATATAACTAATAAAACCTTCATTGTCAAACTACAGCTGAATGCAAGCTTCCACATTACTATTCCCCTGTAAAGATTCCCAGTAGAACACACCAAGATTAGAGAAACCACACAAAACTGGCACTAATAAACCATTCCCTGCAGCAGTCCAGAGCTATAAGTGCTGGGATGCTATAAAGATGGGAGGATTTATTATTCCTCAACTGGTTTAATCTTCTGTATCATTGTGATGGAGGCTTTGTGGTATCTCTGTTGTTAACGTGGATTAGTTTTCTTCTACTACAAACTCCTTCCTACTAATACAGCAGGCTATTCGAAAGTTCATCTGAATGACCAAATGAAGCAGCAATGCACCTCCACAGCATTACACTCACTGCTCACCTCATGTCGCTTGAAGAAGTCTGAGGATTCAAGAATGATATGAATTTCCTGCAGACGCTTGAGGTATTTTTTCTGGAGGAACAGGAGAAAAAAAACGCCCATAAGCACTTAAGTAAAGAAGGAATGAAGATACTCTGTTTATAAGAACCAATATAATGAAGAGATCATGTTAATTTTAGGCTAGAGATCCTTCAAAACAACAGGTTCATCATTTGAAAGTCAATCTGAAAATACACTTCAACAGGCTTTCATAGTGAATGAACAGACTGGAGTTTCTCTGCTGCATGTGTTACACGCAGCATACTTATCTGTCTTGCTTTGGCTGCACTGAGACTTTCTGCATCCCTTTTAAAAAAAAAAAAAAAAAAGTTTCAAGCAATTAAAAAAATCTTTCAGTTACCCCCAGTGAAAAGAGAATGAAATTGTGTTGGAGAGACAAGGGGCTCCAACCATGTGGCATCGAGAATAAAAAAAAGAAACCAAGGCCTAACGCATAAAGCTCTAGTACACAGTTTTAACGCTGCCCAGTGTTACCAAGCGTGCTCCTCCTGGAGGGGAGGGGTAATCTGCCTTCATACTGCCTTCTACACTGCAGCAAAACACTGTGGTGTCCTTTGAAGTTCCAAAGACAAGAGACATGTTACACCATCTACCACATGCCTGCTGTGCTACCCGTGAAGCAGCACACAGGAATCACTCTCTGAGACGAGGCTCACACATAGGAGCACAGCCAGACACCAATCTCACTTCCTGCCCCCATGCTCTGGTTTTATCCTCTCCAGACTAAATTCCCGAATTACAAGTTTTCCTGCCAACACAATCCTTGCTTAGGCTTCATCATCCCTCCAATGCATCTAACACCTGTGGTCGAAGCTGGTGGCAAGCCATAAGTTAGCTCGACTGATGTGTTGCTAGCGTGAGGAACTTGGGGTGAACTCATAGCAAGAGCTGACATAACTGCTCTCAGCCAACTCTTCCTCACAGCCCACCAAGTCCCCACGTCCACTCCGTCTGCTGGGAGGGACTGGAAGTCAAAACCATTTTCTTCCATGGTAGTTTAATTCATTTTTCTTGTACCTGAGGAAGCATGGCCCTGAAGCAGGTTCATTGGGTCAATGATTAGTGAACCTGAGGAGTTCAGACTCACCAGAATAGTTGTGTTGCCCTCAATGAATTCCACAAAAACTTTTAGAACTTGCTCCTGTGTCTTTGTAGTTTTGAAGTTTGTGTTACACGTTCCATCTGCCTTCTGCACAAAAACACACAAAAACAGAGACAATTTATACTATGCAGTATATACTATGCAGTATTCCCCTCGTCAGTCAATCCTCTTGAACCACCAACAGCTCAGCTCTTGCTAACCAGATGAAAGTGAGTAGTTGAACAGGAAGAGAACAGGTAAATGAAGCAAGAAGTGGAGTAGAAAAGATACAAAAGCTGATTGGATAACTTTAAATGGCACTTCATTTCCTGTTGAGTGCAGTTAAAAAAACCCCAAACAACCAGCTCATGGTATTACCAGCTTGCAGGAGGGTTTTCTCACGTGTCGGTACTAGCAGTGCCAAGTTCAATGGGGTAAACCCCAGTGACCTCTTTGGTTGTCCTCTCATCTAGCTTGGTGTAGTCAAATCCTGGCTGGCGGTCTAAGTGGATATTTTCAACCCCAATTTTGATTTTGATAGTCCTTTCAAAGGAGACCTTTTTGTATTTCAATGGGGAAATCAAAGAATTGTGGTTAAGACTCAGTTCCCAATATACCTTTGAAGATTAATGTGACCCAGAAGTCACAGAATGGAAAGCCAGTTGCAGACAAGAACAACTTGGGATTCGCAATGCTAGCGGTGACAGAGCAGGTGTGCCAAGGTCACTGTGGGCATGGTTGTATCCAGCTGGGTCCCGGAGAAATTCAGAGTACTTTTGTGCTAGCAGTAAGGCTCAGTACAGGCATCCAGCTGCTGAAGAAACAAGTCTTTTTATGTGCTGGTAGTGACCAGTTTGTGCTTGTGAAGCTTCAAGTAAATAAGAGCAGTGCATGAATCTGAGATATCTGTCAACATAAACTATATGAATATGCATTTCTCCAAGAACAACCCTGTTGCTTCAAAAGACACAAATACGAGCTTTTAGGACTTGCATGTAAAATACAGCAGTTATTGCAGCTGGTAGCCTGTACCCACTACAAGCCTGGAGGATTATCAAACTCTGTTCCTCTCCATTGTATCAATCCAATGAAATCTTTCATTTCCATTATAAATGTAAATCAAGAGGTCATCAAAATGTGTTCCCTCCTACACATTAAAAGTCACTGCACCAAAACTGGGTAAATTCAGCTCTAGTCTCATCAGGTGAAACTATTTACTCCGCAGCAGAACTCGGCTCCTAGTATATACACAAGAAAATTCCAATAATGCTAAATTTCCAGATTTATCGTGCAAGAGAATGAACTGACTGAATGGCAAAGCCATGCAGAACAGCCTCCCACCTACCAGACTTTCTAGCAGCAGAATAAACAGAATTTTATTCCAAGGCTGTGGGCCAGATACATGTGTGGCATGTCAGCCTGATGAG